TATAGGATATCTATAGGGACCCTGTATTATTCATATAAGACTTCTATAAGATTCCTTTAGGAAATCTATAGGACTTCTTTAAGATAACTTCAGGATTACTAAAGGAGTTCTATAGGATTCCTATATGATCCAAGAAGGAAATCTGTAAAATTCCTATAAAATATCTATAAGATTCCTATAAAATATCTACAGGATTCCTATATAATTCATATAAGACTCCTATAAGATTTCTATAAGATATCTATAACTTTTCTATATCATTCATATAAGGCTCCTATAAGATTCCAATAAGATATCTATAAGATTCCTATAGATTTCATATAAGAAACCCATGGGATTCCTATAAGATGCTTATATAATTCATATAAGATTCCTATAAGGTTCCTTTAGAAAATCTATAAGATTCCTTTAGGCATTCTATAGGATTTCTATAGGATAACTATAAGATTCCTATTTGTTTCATTTAAAAATCTTGCAGTTTTCCTATAAGATTTCCTTAAGAATCTTATAGGAAACATATTAAAATTCCTATAGAATACTTATACGACTCCTATACGATTCCTATAGGATTCCTAAAGGATATCTATTGAAATAATCCTATAGGATCCTATAGATGTGACGAAAAATCTATAAGATTCCTATAAGATTTTCTCTTATAGGATCCTATAGGACATTTTTGTAAGGGGTGTGAGTCCCAGACCTTATAGGCCTAGGCCCTAGTAAGGCTTGCGGGAGAATATATCCTCGGTGCAAAAATTTGCCCTAGAAATCCGTCCGCGCATTTCGGAAAATAAGGGCCGATTTCCGGTCAGAGTTTGCTGAAAATTAGGCTTTTGACCAAATCTTAATATATATATTTATAACCAATGCAATTATGCAGCAATTAAATTTGAGCTGGTTTTTTAGATATCCTCCGCCAAATTAATAAACTTTATAGTATGGTACAAGTCTTAATTTAAAAAAAAATCTTTTTGATCCCATTTTAGTAGGCTGGTTGCAATTGTCCATTATTTGGACGAAAAACTTCACAGCAGCATTGAAATAGTCTCAATAGACCAGACTTCATGATTCTTTTCTTATGTACAAGCATTACCACCACAAATCTACTATAGTATTTCTTGGCAGGCTTGCCGAAAAGTCAATTACCTTACTAGTTGGGGAGCTAGAAGCGGTTTATGTGCACGCCTTAGCAAAATATCTTATAGCAATACAAATCAACTTTTGACTGTTTTCCAATTTAAAGTCAGGCTCCGGAGGAAAAAAAATTTTTGATATGTTGTAAAACTGATTTTTCTAAGACAGAAAAAATTAGTTTGATCAAAAACTGTGCAACGGTGAACAAGATACAGATTTTTGAATATTTAAAAACTGGGGGAAAAAGGTGTAAAAATGGGCGGTTATGCCCCTTTTTCCCCCAGTTTTTAAATATTAAAAAATCTGTATCTCGTTCACCGTTCCCCAGTTTTTCTGTCTTAGAAAAATCAGTTCTAGAACATATCAAAATTTTTTTTTCCTCCAGAGATTGACTTTAAGTCTTAAGAGATGTTTGGTGAGTATAGCGGACAAAAGGGTCAAATTTAATATGTTCATATCTTTGTAACTGATTACGAGGTGAACACTTTTGATGCCAAATTACCCAGAAGACCCATGTTTATAGCCACTCTAATGGAAAAGTATCATGGTTATTTTTAAAGCATGAATTAAAAAGTTGTCTCATCATTCAGGTTCAGTTTGTTAAATAACAATCAGCTGCAGTGGAACAAAGTCTGAAGGGTGGGAACAATGGTACAGGAATTATAGGGGTCAAAAGTTAGATAAAGTTGCAGATCATCAACATAAAAATAGAATCGATTGAATAGTGTGAAGCCTGATAATACCACTATGAGTACATTAGTAGAGATTGAACAAACATGGGGCCAATGACTATTGGGCATGCTTAAAAGTAAAGAAGTGGGAAATGTACCAGGAGAGACCTTAGTATTGTACTGTACTTCATACACTGTTTAAACCCACCATTATAATACATCAGATCATAAGCATATGTTCCAACCTGCCTGATTCGGTCGGGGGACTCTCAAATTTTTTTAAATTCTCGCGAGTTTTAAAAAAACCCCCAAAAATAGCTATTAGTGGCTTTTTGGTACTAACAACTTGAGTATTTCTGTATCAATTTTTCCTTTATGTGCCAACTTTATTAACGATGTCAGTGTAAGACTTTCTGATTGTTCAAAGATTAGAATGCATGTGNTGTGGGGGGGGGGGGCAGGGGGTCTTAAACCCCAAAAAAAGAAAAAATAGGTCTAGTTTTCCCATCCCATCCATTTCTGGCCATCTGGAAGTCCCATTTTCTTTTTTAAATCTTGTTTTGGGAGGAGGGGACACCCCCTGTCTTGGGCCTTCAGTTCTCAGATAACGCTGCACGCTATTGTTATACCCATAAATGTTTAGGGACATCATACCCCCCCCCCCATAAATTATATCCTAGAGCCGCCACTCCCCTGTTGGAGAACAGTAAATAAATTATGAACACCCTCTAGAGTATATGGTTCAAATAAAGAAATATAAGAAACAGTAACCATGATGTGGGGAGATTTACTCTTATTTTATTTTGTATTTCAGTAGGCTGTTTTACTCTTAATGAAGGAAGATGGCTTATGAAAGAGTTAGTCGAGTGCTCCTCAAACCCCGCAATGTTGTCCTGTTGACCGGTGGTATTCTAGCCATAAAGATCTTCCCTGATGCCTTCCCGCAGCTTATATCCCGCCCACTTTATCAGGGCTACCATGGTGGAAGAGTGCGCAAGCTACAAGATTTGCAATTAGAAGAATTTCAAGAGGTTTGTAGAAATCTTGGTGTCGATGCTGAAAGGTATCACCTGTTTGTCACTGGACGATGGGACATCAAAGCTAAGGGCGTGTCATGGATGCCAAATGGTGTTCAATTTGGAATTCCCGTTCATTTTGTGGAAGAACCGAGTATCGCATCAATACGTTTTAGCGACCCTATAAAAACAAACCTTGACACAAAGGAAGGACAGTTGTTTCAGGAGTCATTCAATCTAAGTAAACCTGCCCGGCAATTCGCCCTCGCTAGTGAAGTTGCACGTATTGAATCCGGACACACAATCGCAAAAGCTTGTCTACTTCCAACCTTCATTGCCGTGGGTTATGTAACAACATTCGCAGCTTTACCCATGTTGAATTTTTTACCACGTTTTGTTGCATTACTTGGCATTGGCTCTGTCTACATGATCATTTATAGATTCTCACTTGGACAAATAAATGAATCAATTGACCTTCGTATGGATAGGAAAGTGGCTAATTTAAGCCCCACCTATGCAAATGGAGGGTTGGAATATTACGAGAAAAGAATTCAGAAAAACATTGCTCTTAGGGTTCTACTTGAATCTAAGGGAAAGAAAATGTATTCATATTATGGAAATGAACACCAAGGAATATTTTATAGTGCCAGTGCGCCACTGACGTCGAGAAAAGATGCAATTAAGAAAATTGTACAACAGAATAACAAGAATCGCAATTAAAGAAATTCGAAGTATTTGATTAAATGCTTTAGCAAGAATCTCAGACAGTTGGCTTTTGTGTACTCAGATTTCGTTTCTGTATCTATTAATACCTTAAAGCGTGTAATTAATATTCATGTGATACGTCATCTCAAAAGTGTATCAAAAGGAATGATTGGAGCTATAGCTTTGATTATTAAACGTACACTGCCTGTTCTGAGCTGAAACTTGAACAATAAAATTCAATATTAGAATTTCTTTGTAATTTGAAGCTCTCGGCTTTTAATTGAAAATCAGAATAAAAAAAATTATACTTTGCATAAACTCTTAAACTGGCCATTGGCCAGTTACTACTGTAGTATGGATTTTTGTAGTAATAAAAAAAACCAAGAAAAGAACAATGAAGAACAATTTTGTTGTTTGAAAGAAGGTAATAATAATAATAATATTACTGTTTTAGCAGTGGCCATTTTATTTAACTATCGATATCAGATTGTAATACGATGATTTGCCTGTATTACAGTGAGTCAACTCTGGTCCAGTGTGCTGTCAGATATTCAATAGTGTTGGATCTCCACAACTGGCCCGAGATACCATGGCAATGATTAATAATAGTAATATGTTAGACTTATATAGAGCTTAATGCCAACAAGGCCTCTTAGCGCTTTACGTTATACCCCTGGTAATTGGGTCAAGCACATATGAAACACATACTCAGCTCCCTGAGAATTCTATACAATAGCAGCTGTAGCCAGAGAATTTTGTGTTCAACCTACTAGGTGGACAGACGAGACTGGTTTACTGGGTAGCTCAGACACGAAGAGACCCTTAGGGGAGAAGAAAGATACTGTGCCAGCTAGTATACACCTCAAGCACTTTGACGCTTCGGTATAAAGCACTATATACTTGCTTGAAATACTGGGTCGTTTAGAAAGCTTATTAAGCTTTACAATGACCCATCCAATACAAAAATAAAAAATTTCTACTCTTCAGTACCGTTGGGGGATAAGCAAGAAGAAAGGAAAGAGAAATACGTGTAGTATTGTCTTTATAAATGTGAAAAAGTAAATTTACACGGAAGTGTAGACCAATGTTGATTTAATGCAGATTAAAATTTATTTAGACTAGAAGACATCTCGACTTCTTGAGGGAGACTGTTCCAAGGATCAATAACTCGAGCTAAAAGAATATTTTCTAACGTCCAAACGTGGCCTACTTTTATACAATTTAAACTCATGACCACGAGTTATAGAATGCTTATATTGAAAAAAATGTGAAATGTCTAAATTGTCAATACCATATAATATTCTATATAACTGGATCATGTCTGCCCTTAAACATCGATATTCCAGAGTGGGAAGGCCCAAAAATCTTAATCTCTCTGGATACGTCAAATGACATATCTCATATACTATTTTTGTTGCTCTTCGCTGAACAGACCCAATTTTTTAAATCAAACCAACATGATGTGGAGCCCAAATACAACTATTATAAATATAAATCGAATTACATTACCCACTTGTACTCCTGGGTGCAGAGAGACAACTGCAGGTGAAGTGCCTTGCCTAAGGCCAAGAGCAAAATGCACAGCGAGGGATTGAACCTCCAACCTCAAGGTTGAGAATTAGAACCACAACCACTGCACCGTAAAATTTTATGTACAAAGTTTATAATCAGTCGTATAAAGTCAAATACAAAATAAACTTTTCTTCACTTCAGAATTGCTAAAAAAGTTTAGTTTAATTCTCTATGTTTCTATATACATACTGTACTTATGGAGCAGAGTTCATATCAAACTATAATAAAACTGGATAAGAATCACAAAGTACAAAATAATTGGAAAACTGTAAATTGCTATACCAAAAACAAACAAATACAGTGATTTTGAAGACTAACACACTGCAATATTAGGAAGAATATTAAGCCAATGATGAGGTAAACCAAACAATTGGTTCATACCAGCAACTAAAAAGTGATCAATCAAGTGGAAAATGACTTGTAATTGTGAAGATCAATTTCCCACGACCCAGTAGGCTTACATTCAGACTGCTTAATGTAAAGAAGGCGTTGCTATATTTTAAGTGTCGCATAATAAACGCTTAGTGAATAGGTTTGGGATAGCGTGCTACAATCCACCAAAGGGAAATCCAGAACCATCCCAGGCTAATTATAACAAGGAAGTTAAGCGATACAAATATAAATGAACACATTTTGGTCTGAAAGAAAACTAATTGGCAGTGACGAAATCTTTGCTTACTGACTTTTGCATCCCACATGTAATTACACTTGGCAGTCTTAATTTTTTGTTTTAAAGAACATTAGCCTCCAAATGATACAAAACAATAGAGATATGACAAGATAATATTTATCTTCACAAATGCCCATTAAAAACATAGCAAAGCTCTGACCACAGAAAATTTTCTTCACAAAAAACCCTGTTATGCCATATATAGTAACAATATGCCTATATATGGTCATGATGTTATGTCATAAAAACCATATTTAGGGATGTCACATGTTTTTGTGAGGAAAAGATTGATAGTCTAAACAAGGCTTAACATAAAGTAAAATCTATAAGGATATGTCATAAACAGCTGGTCACCTTAGTGTTTGTTCACAATTATCTACATTTTCACAAGCGTACAAACAGTATGCTACAGGGGAGGGGCTACACAAATTTGTACATTTTTCTATGCACGAACATGCTGATTCATAGTAATATGCAATATTTAAAATAATATGTAATAATAATTTTTATGACCAATTTTAATGCAATCACGGATATAATATACATATTTATGTAACCAGGTACAGTATACGAGTTGAAAAAAAGGGAGGATGGCTTTGCAAAATCAACAGTTTTTATTACACATTCAGAGGGGAGGGAGGGGATCCTGAAAAAGAGTACGGTTTATACACTTGCAAAAATGTTAATTGTGAATGACCCCTTATCTAAGGTAGTTTAGTGGAGGTGTATATCTTAAAACATTTGTTACTTTCACATACACCCTTGCACACCAATCCACTTTATGTAGGCCTATGCTATTTTGTGACCAGTTAAACCTTGGTGAAAACTCTTAGCCAATGAAATTAGAAAAATTAATCTTATTACTGATTGAATTGTGTTGATTGTATACTGCAATGCATACTGGGTAAATTGAAATAAGTTTTGCCAAGTTATGAATCCAAAAACTTCTAAATTTCAAACTCAATAAATTTTGTTTGGAATTTAAGCCGGTAGCATGCTAATGTGGATGCGAAAGTAAGGATATAAATTAGATCAAATATTCGGAATCAGGACATATGCTTAAGCGCATCACTGTTCTACATGAGGTAACATAATGTACGCAAGTTGAAATAAATATATTCAGGACATTACTATGCTACAGTATATGAACCTGTATACGTAAGTTAACGATGCAGGTAACATTAAATTTAATTGGTTTTGATATGCAAATTTGGACGACCATCATAACTGAAATTGGGACGCCTAATGTAAGCTTACGATGCCAATGATATCGGTGACACTTATTTTGTAGTCAACAATTGTTAAACGAATTCGATTTACAAATATTACATTCAAACCAGATAAAACTATTTCAAAAATTGTAACAATTCGACTTTATTGATTAACGAGATAAAAATATTAACATAAATATTGTGATAATTTGTTTGATAGAACAAGAAAAAAATCAAATCAATTTTAAAATAAGTGTATTTTATTTTTCATTTGTGAAAAAAGAACATTACTGTGAACTACATTTGAACATTAAGCTGCTGAAGATATTTATTGTGACACGCTTTGAATTTCAACCTCTGTAAAAATGTTTAGATCTCAAACAAAATAAAAATCAATCAAAGCCAAAAATATTCACTCTAAAAATCTCTTTAAAAGGGCGCCAATTATTGGGAATCTGGCTGTATTGCATAGCACATACCATTGTGTGTCAATCGCTACAACATCTAGAAGCTGAAACACTCCTTTATATCTTTGATCAAATTAAATAAATACATCTTAAATATATAACTTACATTGAATTAAATATCCAATTATTTACTACTGCAAGACCTGGTACAAAAAGCTGTTAACAATTGCAAACTATAAGTCTAGACATGAGAGGGGGTAAAATGATAACATTTTGGGCTATTAGAATTTTACAGTAGGTGTTTACATTGTCTGATCACATAGGGAAATGTCACCATTGTTGTTCCATAGTCTATTGATTAGCATAATCTCCATCCAGCACACCTACAAGGTTAGCATACACTGAAGCATTCTATTTGTCTACCTAACAAAACAGCCCCTAGCCTTTGATACTCTCACAGGCTAAATCATACACTAACGACTATACAGTATACAAATAAATGCATTTACTTGAGAAATATTACCCAAATTAACACATACCTTACTGACTCCATAGCATGTCCATTGAGGAGAGGCTCACTGAACTGTGGCTGTGTATGATGTACCATACTCATATCACTATTGATATATCAGCCTATCAGTAAATACTCTTGTTGACTCATCTCTATAGTGATCCATGCTATCAATCAATGGTATAGAACATGGACAAAAGTATTTGCATTCTCAAAGTTCTCAACTCATGGTCAGAACTGAATGAGCCGTTAGAATGTTGTTATCACCACTACATAATAATAGCCCAAGTGTACAGGATACAGTATACAGGAATGAAGGTCCACACTTTTCTACTAAGTCCAACTTCGATGAGAACATAATACTAGACTAGAGCATGTCTACTGCTTTGTTCTTGATACGGTGTTTGACTTCTTGAGAACTTTTTGAATTGGCATTCAAAACTCAATCGAATGAAGCAGACCATGAAAACTGCTTCGTAAAATAAATGTTTTATCTTTGACCTTGTTTGTTGTTCACAGCCACACCAGTTATCAATCATTACTAACATTGTTAGATAAAACCATACTTTTATGACTAGTTTTTATACAAACATCAGAATAATATTGAATAATAGTAACTATATTTATAACACATAAAAAAAATCAGTATTTGTCTTGTGTAAATTACATAATCAGTGAACTATATCTTATAAAGTGGTCAGGAATTACTGTATCGAACAGAATATTACAAATTCTAGATTTGAGAATAATTTTAAATTGTGAATAAATCTAGTATGAAAATAAAGCATTATTTCACAACACAAGACACAAAAATAGCAACATTTTGGAACTATTTCAAGTTCATTGAAATTTCATTGAGAACACATAATTTAATTTTAAATATAATTAAAATAACTGCAATTTACATTTTCTTCTTCATTATTGTGAATCCGTTCTTTTAATAAAATGTCTTCAGAAAAAAAAAAAATCGCTTGGAAAAAAAGCGCTGCAATTTTCATCTTCTTTACATGATTGTGAAAGAGTTTTCCAGACAGTCTACATCTCTGTTCAAAGAAACATACAGTTAATAGTCTGTTCAAAGAAACAAACAGTTAAATGTCTGTTCAAAGAAACATACAGATGCAAAACAAGCATAACAATTCAAAGGCCTTTATACTTTTTAAGTTACCTCATTCAATTCACAACGTAATAATGGATGCTTAGTCTTAGTAATACCTGGTAATACTAAGAACTACCATGTACACCCACCTTAAATGACATTCCTTTAGAAATCTAGGCAAAGAAGCACACGGTACTTATAATTTTGCTAAGAAGTTATATTGATATTTAAAACGCATGGCTCTGTTGAACTTTTTACAATAAGACCATTCAAAAATTGAACCACATTAAAAAAAAAAACCATGTTTCTCATCTTTCTACGGTGCAATCTCATGTTTTCTACTTTCTATGGAAGCTTAAAGTGACCTTCCGAGTTCCCCAATATAATTATTTGGAAACATGGAATATACACTTATTAAGACATCTTTCCGAGATAATTTATCTCGGAAAGACGGATTTCAGAGATAAAATATCTTGGAATGACTGAATTCCAAGGTAATGTATATAGAAAAGATGGAATTCTAAGGTAACGTATATTGGAAAGACGAAAGTCAAATAATTTCTAAGTCGATCTTATTTTTATGCCAAATTGTTGTGTTTTCCATTAATTAACAATCTGTAAGTCTAATTTTATCGTCGAACAATATTTCACTGTTTGTTTATCAAAAGTGTTTTTAATCAAGTCGGCCAGCAACTATAATGAGATGCTGGCAAAATAGAGATGGGTTGATGACAAGTTGGTTATAACCATCTCTATTTTGCCGACATCTTATCATTGTTTACTTGTCAATTCATTCATCAGCTTGTCACCAAACACTTAGTGATCCAATCAACTGATTGTATATTTTACTATGTATGTGTGTTTGTATAATATACATATACATACATGCATATGTAGGTAGGCATGTATCAATATATGTATCATAGTTCTGGGGGTATAAACCCAAGCCCACCTCAGGTATAAGTGATCCTAATTTACATACCCAGGGGCAGATCCAGAATTTTTCAAAATGTGGAGCACAACATTTACAGAACAGACAAGCGAGGTACGCTAATTTCAATATATGCATGAAATTTTAAAATTTAGTGGCAAAACGGAGATGGGGGTAGGGGACCTTTCCCCTACTGGATACGCGCCTGGTACCAGTGTTTTCTCTGGTATGATTTGAATCAGTAGCTCAGCTGAGTTTTTAAAAACACTTTAGTTGCATTGAAAATTTGCCTATTGATTGGCCAATCCCTATAATTTTAGGTTTTTTGATGGACATTCCCCGGGTATACACCTCATGCCCACCCATAAACTCGACCCACTTTCATTTTAGTATCGTTTCGGTTTCAATCGTTTAATTATTTTACTGTTTAGTAACATTGTTTAAATTGAAATTAAATGAAATGTATGCTTTGTTGATAGTTTTACCATTTTTATTGTAAAATAATGTATTTATGAAGTTTGTTTGATATGTGACTTTTTAAAATCTAATGTTTTTCTGTATTACCCTAACTGTATTGTATATGTGGTCATTTTGCACTTATTTTTATTGTAATTATTGTGCAGGACCATTGCTAAAAACAGGTATTTGCCTGAAAATTATCCTGGGTAAATAAGTTTCCAAATAAAAAATAAAAAAGAATTTTAAGGGTTGTGGACTAGTTATACCCAAGAAACTATGGTGTATATCATGGTACATTATAGAGAAAAACTCAACTGACTTGAGGTAATGCTATACAGTTGAACATGCCTAAGCCAAATCCAAAATGACATTGAAAAATATTTTGACTTAGATAAAATTTGACTTACAGATTCTTAATTAATGGTTTTGCATGTAAAATAAATTCGAGTTGAAATTATTTTAGTTAGGTAAAAAGTCTTAAGCATGTTTAACTGTAGCTATATATATAAATTTTGAACGTTGAAGAGGAAATTGCGAGTGTAAAAAATGTTTGCCCGAACCAGGATTGCATATACAGAAATGGGGCATCATACTACTCTTTTTCATACCAAGACAAAAAACATGATTTTCTTTTGGCATTTATCATAATCACAATCAGTTGAAGTAACATATACTTTGCTGAGTTTACAAAGTTATAATATACTAACACTCTGAAATAAAATATCTTTTTTTAGTTTATAGAACAATGACCTTATAATATTAATAATAAAATTGATAGCAAAAAAAATATTTCCTAAAGTATTCTCGTAGTTCTCCTTCAGTAACAGACAATTAGAAATGTACTATTTTTACGCACACACAAAATATTATGATTCTGTGTAAATTGGGACGGAAAAAATATTTAAAAATAACATTTTCAAGAACATTACATTTTAAAAAGTATGAAATATGTAAGAAGCAGAAAATAACTATAAATATAAAAAGCACTAATGCAGAGATATATAAAATAATTATTAGCTTAATGAAACTAATTGACTGAGAAAGGGATACAAGAAAAAAGTTAATGATAAAATGTTATATGATAGAATTCCATCTAAATAATTAAAATACAAAAACTAATTAACTTTATTTTGAAACTTTTCTGAAGACTGTACATGTAAATTTACAGTTCTATACAAAATTTGATAGCCATGTTTAGGTTCATATCCTTTTGTGTTACTAAATTTAAATACTTAATTCATTCTCTAGAAAATTTATCGTTGTGTCTTGTAAAAATGCGAGAAAGCAAGAATTTCTCAGAATAATATCTCATTTAATAAATCTGTTTACATAAAATGTGATTCAATTAATTAAAATTTATTCACTCAAAAAAAAAAAATACAACACAAAAAGATAAGTTAATAATAGGAAAATAAAGCAAGATGAATCAGTCACTACAGTGTGCATCAAACCAGGATATTGTTCTTTTCTGAGATTAGGCCAGGAACTATAGCGTTTATAGGCCACCGCAGTCCAGGGCATTATGCCTGCAATACTAAGCAGTTACTTTCAGGCTTATCAAACCGTGATTACCTGTCCAACATACGCCAAAATCAATTTTGCTGAGATGTTCATCAACGTAAATCCATCGGAGTTCAAGACATTATCAACATTGAAAGATCGAACGGCAACAGAAATAAAAAGCAAGTATCAAAAAGACTTCTGAACGAGCTTGAACAACAAGATCCTTTTATAGAAATTTAAAAGTAGGCCAGCTCTTAAATCTCCCTCTATTTCAGTTTGCTTTTTTTATATCCTGATTGTTTTGTCAACCTAGCTGTTGAATGTTTAAATTTGTCACTGCAATTTGCCTGCTATGTCTGTCTGTGAGTTGCAGAATTCAAGATATTGCAACACATCCTGTAAAGGTTTATACTTAATCAGACAAATCAACTTCAGGTGCTTTGAGTGTTCGTAAGATGTATTAACTGGAATTGCTGATGCTTCTGGAAACAGGCCGAATGATTTCATCTAAAAAAAATTTAAATGAATATAAATCATGTTAATCACATTTCAAAATGACTACCATTAATCGAAATTTATGCTACAGAAAAGCATATTATATTCATCAAATGAAATATAAAGCAAATTATTATCATTATTAATATTATATGGAATACAAGTAAAATATACAGAATTTAAGTTACACAAATAATATATAATATTAGTTATAGCCTCTTTCTATGTTTTACCTATGGCACAAAGTCTGGCAAAAATTTTAAAAATTTGCCCTAAAAGGAAAGTTATCACCAACACAGGAGACATTCCATCTCCACACACACAGTATGAATGATTCAAAGAATAGCACTGCCGATACAGTTTGTGATTATGTAAACATAAAGAGCGAAGGCTCATTTTTATATGCAAGTTGCTCACCAAAGTAAACTCGAACAATTGCATCACAAACAAAACGATACTGGGCTGTGGTTTGTATTAGCATGGCTCGTTGATCTCGCATGGTCTTCACTATATCCAGAGGATAAACTGGCTCGTTGGCTTCTATGAGACACATAGCTGTTTCCATGGTAATCAGTACCCCTGTTCGACCAATGCCAGCACTGAGGAGATACGGTAAATTTAAAGTTAGGAGATTAATCCATATTTTGCAGTGTTATTGTGCTGAATTGCGTATGGGGACATGGTATACGATTAGTTTGACATTAGCGTTTTTCACAGTTAATTTTTTAAAAACACATTCTAGTATAAACAAAAAAATATTAATTTATTTAACCAAATAAACTGAAAATCAATTAACTCGAACTAATCTTTAATTAGGCTTACATTGCCTTAATTGAGTGAGTAGGAATCTGTCTTAAACACATTAATTCACCTAATTAATAAACCAACTGCATGTAAACTACGTCGAGCTGAACTACACTAAATATAAACTTTAAACTGACTCAAAATAAATATTTAACCAGCCATAACCACAACTGCAGTAAAGCATTAATTATACAAAACAAAATAACATGAATATTCAGCATCTTTACCTGCAGTGTACAACAGTTGGTGCATCCATGCCAACCCTATGCTGCCGAACCCTCAAGACAAAATCTAAGAAATCAGAAGAATCATCGGGAACACCGTGATCTGGCCACGCTATGTATTGCATCTGGACAACATTCCTTGATTCGTTTGTCTATAGATTAAAGAACAAAGGCAAAGGCATGGATTTAACAGACTTAATAGATAAAATTTGCTACCATGCTTTAAGAATTATGAATTAATTATTAGTAGTATCTGACTCACGCAAGACACAATGTTTCAACTTTTTCTGGGAAAATTGATCAAACGTCTTGTGATTCATTGCATATGTGTGAGATGCATACATGGATGTGTACGCATCCAATGCACTGTAATACCAAATACGATAACCAGGCATTCCGGATGCCTATAATATTTAGCATGGATCTGTATGTATGGTAACAGGACACAGCTTGTCTTTCACTGCCGGATCATGCGTACCTTCACTGTCTGCATATGAACTATACAAACTTAAAGCAAGATTTTAAATCACTCAAGAGAAAGGTGACTGGTAATATTTTAGTAAGAATTAATGCGAGAAGTCCTTGTAATATTTAGCATGTGTCCAGTGTAACATTTAGTCTGCTGTCAATCAGGTATTATTATCAAATTTTATTTGACAAAAAAAGCTGCTGTAATGCCCTTATATGAGGCTTTCCATCCGAACACCAGCATCAGTAATAAAAATAAAAATCAAAAATGACTTTTTAATATAATCTTATTCTCCACAGTTTTAAAATGATGGGTCATTCACTGAAATCGACTCCCTATTTGCCAAAGTTATGAGTAAAAGTATTATGGTATACAATACTGCCACAATTTTAATCCAATTACTCAGTTTAAGATATACGACAGTACGCTGGTTTTTTGGATGGCATTCATCATATAGTTATGATGTGCCTATATATGGTCATGGTGTGATGTCATCATGACCATATTTAGTACCTCTCAAGATTAATATTACATCATTTGACAAAGCACTGTTCCATCATTGTTATATAGAAGTGTATAATCCAAAGTAACAGAGACATCATTAACGGTACATTTGTACTTTTGTTTATGGTTTATTTTTTATCTATGTGGTTGTTAAGTGTCTGATGTTAATTCCAGAATTATTATTATTATTTTTATTATTATTATTATTATTATTATTATTATTATTATTATTATTATTATTATTATTATTATTTTACTAAAAACTACCTTAAGGGGAACTTGGACAATGGAGAAAGGAGAGACAATGAAGAAAATGATGTTAAGGGGGAAAATAACATGATATTAAGGGGGGGGGGGGAAAACACAAAAGATACTCCCCTTGAGTCACCGCCGCCATCCTTGTTATTATTATTATACTAACATAATGTATAAAATTACAATTGAAAACTATATTGAATAAGGAATTGTTTGGGAAATTCCCCTGACCATTGTTGTTGTTATTGATTGATGTTGCTAGGATTACATCCAGAAATTGGTATTGTCTAATTCACACAACGGATGACCTGATTAGTGACCTGGGAGTGTTTTTAACAAAGGTGCGACTTTACAATATCATGCATGTGGTATAGTGGTATTCATGGAGTTGCACACTGATGTCTTGTCAATCAAGATGAATCATTTATTGACAGTTATAACACCGGTGGGCAAAATCATGTAATTTTGTTAAATCAAATATCATTGTTAGTAAAATGAATGTCATAATTATTGCAATAGCGATGGTGCATTAAGTGTGCAATAACCATTCATATCTTGTACAACAATCTTGCCTCAAAGAGTAGACATTATTACAAGGGTGAACATGTAAAATCCATTGAGAAAAAGTTAGTAATTTTTGTTTTTGTTGGTTACTATATATTTTTTTTTTAGATTGGTTTGGATCATTCGCAAAAACATGATGTGCATGAAGAATTTTATCTATATAAATCTTATAAAAAAATAAACAAAATAAATAAATAAAGGAATTTTAAAACAAATCAATTAATCAATCTTACATTAAAATGAATGCAAAAAGAATAAGAATATTTGAAATAACTGTATACCATTATTTCCTTTGTAACATTATAAACATAAGAAAGCCAAAAATGGCGGCACTAAAAATGGCATCATTTAACATACAATAAATTTACCAATTAAAATCATAAATTTACCAATTAAAATCTATTGCAGGTAATAGTAATCACAGGATACCTACAGTAGAATACATGGAATTCCAGGAAACGTAACAGACACTGTATCTAAATGTGAATAACATCACCAGCTAGCATTCCATGTGAGCATATCATCGATGGACAATGTCATCTTAATTACATTCTTTAGACTATCAAACTATATGTGATATGCCTAAAAATGGTCATGATGACATTACATCATGACCATATATAGGCACATCATGACTATACATGGGTATATGGCAGTTTTTTTTTCAAATAAAATTTAATATTATGGATAGGGCAGTACAGGTACAACATTCTAACAATTTGGTAGACGATAATAAATTAGAATCCCCATTTGTAACAATATAATTTTGCGACATTGCTAGCATAGTCCCAGTAATGTTTGCCCACCCAGTAAGTAAATATGGTAGAGGATTATGGTTAATTGACACCTTACCTTCGTATTGGTTATGATGAAATCCCTATTAGCAAATGAGGCGCTCTCGTCACAACGTGTGCAGGTGACCTCTATATGGGGTGAGTACGTCATATGATGACCTAATTCTGGCCAATATTTGTGACATTTAACCTGGAAAATAAACAAAATCGAATTTGAAAGTGAAATAACATGGAATACGAGTAATCTAATTGACAAGATGAAAATTATATTTTTGAATAGCAAATGAACAATTTCATTTATGTAATAACTCAAATCTAATTATTAAAATATAGACCTTAAATGGGCCTTTCTGGAGTGCCAATCAAACTTTGGAACTGACCAATCAGAACAGGGCTAGGAATATGCCACTATCTCACAAACACACGTCTCACATACTGGTATTTGCGTTATTTTTTCACACTGTCATTTTGTTTTATTAGCAACATCCAAAGGACAGGGCTTACTGGAAGGTCCATTCGCTATTAATCACTTCACTGATTTTGAGTAAAAACTGTGCATTTTGATCAGTAATCTCTAATGAATAAAATTTAAGAGATATCTCTTACCCTTCCTCTTTCTACATTTGCTGTAAGCATAACAATTAAACTACAATCTTGCTCCCACACCATGTACCAAAAATCCCCGCACGTATTTGGCAGCGGTCCTTGAGCTGCTATATACCGGTTCACTAAACCAGTTTTAGAAATTTCCATCTGAGAAAAAAAATTAATGATTAAAGATATTTTCATTAAAGATACTTGCATGAAATTCTTCTTTTTTTTTTTTGCACTTGGCCTGTGGTTTTTTAGCACATAGATGATTTTGTATTATGCGCTTTACAAGTACATCGCCATTAACATTACCGAAAACAAAATCCTGATAAGTTTTATTTGCTCAACAAATGCTGATACTTGAAAGATATATATTGAGGTTAAGCACCTCTATGAAGAAGGATAATATATTAGCCATGAAGTACTGCACTTACTTTTATATGTCAAGTGTTCTATGTGTAGGGTTTATATAACATGATCAAAATTTGATATTCATGTATAATATTCTGAGAAACTTTCTTCATAAAATGCCTTCTAAGATTGATAAATGTGATAAATTAGAGTATATATAGTTTTTTTGTTATTGTATTTATATATTCACCAGTGAAAGTGGAATAAAATGAAAAATAATAATATAATATAATAAAGATAAATTATATATGTTTAAAATTACTTCTTTTGAACATACTATATCTACATGAGGAAGAGCCTCAGTTTTAAAATCGAAACAGGAACATTTGTTTGTTTATAAATACCTTGATTAAAAATAATGCAAACTGCATTTAATTTCTTTTTTTAATTAACTAGAATTACAAAAGTTTATCAATGATTTCTTAATGCTTTTAGTGGTACAGTTATTAACATTTTTAAAGTTTCAATAGCCCCCTCTATTATTTTTCATACATAATTTCAGTTGGAATTATTCTACTTACATTAATAGCATTGGCATTTATGTAGTCCCCTGATTCTATTTCTTTTAATAATATCCTTGTGGCATCATCTGCAAATACAACAAAATACACATCAAGGAATAAAGAAAATATTTATTGTTGACAATATAACATTATAAAGTCATGTACAAGGGAAGATGGTTCCAATGTGATATTATGGTTGTTTTTTTACTCCACTGTCTAGTTACAGAGCAATTGCAACCCTTGTCCATAACTAAGCCTAGAAAGTCTTCCATGTTGTAACCTGTGACAATAAAAGTCTGGCTTTTTAAAGCACCTTTAAGGAAAATGTTTAAAAAAGTCTATAGACATGTATGTTCACAAAGTGATATTGATTAATATGTTTCAGTTTCAGCTTATTGTTCTTTCATCATATAATTATATATAACTAAATAATATACAAATAAAAATATCATAAATGGATGTTATGTATGTTTTGGTCTTTTAAATAACCGGTGCAAAAATGATGGATTTTTCCATCTTTTTATATTAAAAAAATACTGGGGGAATGTGGGGATGGGGGTGGGGGAGTGGTTATAATAGTACAGATGATGATAACTTACATGGAGCAATATCTCTGTATCTATTTTTAACGATGTTGTCCGGATGTCGACAAATGTTCATTGTCATCCCTGGTTTTTTACGATATAATTGCTGAAAATGAATATAAAAAGTTGTGATTAATTGCAATGTAACTATTGTATATACCCCAAGCATCCAACATTTTTAAGCTACTGGCCAGAGTCAAGTGCCTTTTTTTGTATATATAATAACTAGGTCACACTTTTTTGCCCATGAAAAAAGTGGCCTTTACTTTTGTAAAGCATATCGCACCCCAATTGAAAAAAAAAAAACCCCAACTGGAGAAATAATTCTTTGCTGACAAATGTTGCTAGTTGAAGCTCAGGAACTGAGTAGTTTTATTAATGAGGAAACATTCTAATTTGATTCCAGGATCCTGGATTTTGAAGGCAAGTCCTTTCAAAGCCTAGCTCAACCAATTATTAAAATATCTAACCTCAAATTGGATCAATGCTGTCCCACTTTCTAGACCCTCTCGTAGCAGCATAATGGACTCTGCAAGCACGTCTAGATCTGGAAGGTTCGCCACCCTGGGACTCTCTGGTATATACTGGAATAGTGGCTCTTCTTCCTCCTCTTCAGCACCAACATACACTGTTGATAATTCAGAAAATAGGTTACAAGTGAAGACTCAATATCTCATTGTATCCACATTGCTAGGCAACTAAGACCCGTATGCTAAACTGACACTAGTGAAAATAAACACTTGGATGCAGACAGTGCATGCTGTTTAAATATAACTTGCTTCAAGGTGGATCATTAACAATCAAATTAGGGCATTGTTAGTGTTACTTGTGTACATAACATTTAACTCTTCTAGCTCTTCCTTCGAAGACATTTTTATCTTAAAATCCAATGGCTAGGAAATAACTAGCAATAGAAAGGAAAGGAAAACAATTATAATACATTATAAATCAAAATCAAAACAAAAATTTATTAATTGTATTATATTTAGTAAACTTTCCTCTAGATTTAAAATGACTTAGCTGTTAGATTCATTTATCTGTAGTTAGAAGGTATTGGTCAATCCATCATTCTTTTAGAATCTGATCATTGTTCTACTAATGAAAGTTAATGAGCATGTCCAGGGTAATTTTTAAAGATACAAAAACATTTAAATATAAAAAAAAATATATTTTTATATCTCATGTCCAAAGAATATTATGAGAAAGTAGAAAAAAAATTTATCAAATGTTCAAAAAATAAATTAAGTACTGTAGAAAAAGAAAACGATGAAACCAAGAAATTTTGACATACACTAGCATTAGGAAGGTTATGAAGGATGGTGACAACAATGATGATGATTATATGATAATCATGTTGGTGGTAATGATAATGATGATGAAAGGTGGTGGTGATAACAAAAATGATGACTATTTAGGAATATGATCTAGATGATTATGTTGATAATGATATGTTGGTGGTGATGATGATATTGATATAAATGATGATGACGTTTGTCATAATGATGATAGCGATTAAGATGATGAATAAATAATATGTTAATTGATGATGAAGTTTAATAGACTCTGGTTAATTTAAGTAACACAAAGGCTTGAAGGAGCGAAAATGTATATCCACCATTCAAAACAACTAGCAGAGAAAACATTCAAATGTTACAAGGGAGAAGACAAAGAAAATAAAGTAACATGCCACCCATAATGCATCTACGATATTAAAGAGCGCCCTCTTACCAACTGTTGTGTGATTGGATGAAACGTGCTCTTTAACAGTTAAATAAGGAGAATGAACAAATATCAATTTCATGTCCAACTTGGATGAAGCTTTGTTTTCAAGCAAATATATATATATATATATACACACACACACACACACAAGCTGTAAAAATGTATTTGAATTAAGCGAAGGTGTTAGGGTAGATGTGAAGTGTGTGCGCACATATGTATGTGTGTGTAATTATGCATGCACATGTATTTGCACACGTGTGTGCATGTACGCACGAGTGCTTACTTGTCATGAATAAATATTTCATTACATTAACTGAAACTTAATGATGAGAGTGTTGTTCCTGTTAACGATATTTTAATTAAATTCCTCTCATCACCCTTTTTTTAAATGTTTGCCAACATTTAATGTATAGAGTCCATCAACCGGTGTAAAGTAAAACACCCCTCTGTTTTTGTCTTTGTTTTTATCAATTGAAGATGTACTGTTTTTTATGGTGACCAACCATTCAAGCTCTCATCTTTTGTTTAATCCACCTAATGTATTTTATTATTCAGTTTATTTTTGGTGAATAAAATGAAATGAAAACACTTGATATAAGTTTCAGTACAAGTATCAACCATCAGTAGTTAACTTTACAATATACATATTTCCCTTATTACAAAGTAAATTTTAGTTCATTTAAATTTATTAGAAACAAGAACATAATTTACAATAATACATAGTTTCTTAAGTTAAATAAGATACATATCATGCATAATAAGCATTATGAATAAACAAAATTTAAAACCTCTAAAACTGAAATTAGTACTATCACAAATTTGAAGGGGATACATTTGTTATACAGCAGATAAAGTTAAGAATATAAATATCATAATCATACATGTACATAATTCATAAATTAACTTACCATTTGGGCGAACAGTGAGCACCAATTCTTTTGACATGGCCACCCCCATGGCTCGAATTTTTGCAACTACTTTCTCGTGGGAGACTTTACTTACATCTAAGTCATTCAAGAATAATATTTGATCTCCTTCATTTAAACGAGGAATACAAAGATCAGCCTGAAAGGAGAGGGCAAAATGAATAATAAAACATAAAAATAACAAAAAACCATAATATCTATTTCCTTCATTTTAACTACTGTTTAATCATAAAAATAACAACAATATAGTTACCTTTTCTTAATTTCAATGATTTTTAAAACAATTAACAATATACAAAGACAGATAAAACTTGTATTGAAAAAAAATCAAACAATACAAGGTAACAAAAAAAAATAAAAATTTTAATTGGGTTGCTTTAAATAATACAGTTTATAAACATATAATAATACATTTGACTTGTAATACTATAATCATGAACAACGCACTAAAGACAATGAAAAAAAAGGAAAACAATTAACAGACTATTAAATAATACAATTACACGTATCCTTTCAATTAAAGACCTCTCCAATCAAAGACCACCATTTACAGTAGACACGATTACGACACTACAACGACACGATAACAGACATACAGATACACATGCGCGCATTGTTGAAGAATACAAACTATGCGATGATATGGCGCTGTCGTGTCGTTATCATGTCTAGTGTAAATCTAGCTCAATTAGAGACCAAAGTTGCTAAAGACCGTGGAACCGCAGTCCCGAAAGTGGTCTTTAATTGGAGGGAGACCTGCATATTCTTTGCAGAGACAATTCAGTGATCAGCATCTTTCATTCTAAAGTCAGTCACGTATTGACCCATATAGATAATGTCTCCATTGGATTTTTTACAGTCACTTTCATAGTATGAATGACAATATATCTTTCCATTAGTAATACAACTTACAAACAAAAATTCACAATAATTAGTTGCATGATTACAGTAGTTGCTTACCGGCGTGTTTGGCGCTACCCGTGAAACGATAACCGGACTGTTATGATCTGAACCACCCTTTACGTTAAATCCAAATCGTCCCTGATTATCTGGTACCATGCGTATTGTCACAAGATTCGCTGAGTTTACTCCATTTGTCTGAAAAAGGAAACATTAAAATTAAACTTAACCATTCAATCAATCAATCAATCAATCTATCGATCAATCAAGATGTTTGCCAGAACGTTCAAAAAGAATTAACATACTTTTCTCCTACTACGGTATGTACATACGTAACTATTTTTTACTTATTATTACTGTTACTGTTGTTTATATAAATTATGATGTACATCAAAAATAGTAATCATAGACTTCATTAATGTTGTTACAAAATTCTCATCAAATTGACCTACGTAAGTTACAAGTGAATGATAAAAATTGGGAAAAAAAAAAAAAAATACATAAAATATAGTTAACATCTGTAATAGAATTGATATGTTTCATTCATTTCATTTCAATTCATCAATAGACCAACTTTTATTTCGGACTTGCATGTAATCCATAAAAACAAATATATAAATATAAATTTAACCTGTATGTACATATTCAAATTTACAGAATACCTTTACAATCATATTATGATACAACAGGAAATGCCATTTAAAAAACATCATTGAAGATTTCAATATAGAAGTAGCAATGCCAGACCCCAGAGAGTTTTCTGATGCAGAAATCCTTGACATTTCTTTTCTTACAAATTCGAAAAAAAAAAAGATAGCCTACAAAACAAACATGGTGCTAGCACTTCCTTATCTCGGTTTGCCTAGTAATCTCAATGCATTATTGAAGCGCTCTCTTAGCGAATTAATTGATTTGCTCTGATAATTAGCCCACAAATTTACACAATACAAATGCATACAGTAACTCCTGAAAAATGTACATTTTATCAGGTCAGTACAGTTATAAAAATTGATTTTAATTTAAAACAAAACAAAATTCAAATAATCCATTACATTATATTAATGGTTAATAAATCGAAAATATCATCTGTGCATTCAATTTAATTAATAAATATACTTAAGTTAAAAAATCAAGGAAAGTGCCTACTTACCAGACCATAATTGCCAGTTGCCAAATCGTAAGACTTCCCATTAACAGTTGATGGGCTGCTACCATCATCAATGAACAAAATATCTGGCGAACTTCCACTTAACCGATGCTTTTTAGAGAAACCATTTATTCTGTTGGAAAAAAAATGGAGAATATTATTTTATATTAATTCAGAGAATTTAAATTCAAGATGAATAATAGGCACACTGAATAATATATATTTTTTTTGAGACGATGAATAAAATGGAAGATTAATATTACTTCTGTGCATGACGTTCATTCAAAGACTTGATAGAACGCCACCGGAGGAGCGACATTTGGTTGACCGTGCTCTAAGCAGTGTCAGAGCTCTTGCGACAAAGTTCAGCAGTATGAAACATAGCAGCGATACAAGACGTGTGTTCTAGTCTGCGCTATAATGAAATATGCATGTAATGCAGGTTTCACTTATAGGCATTACGTATGAGTTTTCCAGGAAACTGTCTCATGATCTGTATTGTTACACTAGGCTGTAACATAATAATTAACTTGTATTAAATAATAAATATTAGAAAAAAGCAAACAAATTGGAACAGAATGTTGAATCATTGGTCTATTTTCTTTGAAAAGAACAAAGGCCATCATTTTCCATTATGAGTATTTTTATAGTCAAATAAATAAACGTAATCAACAAAATATCGAATGGATATCAACGAAGTTCAAAGAACACTGTGTTTGCTTCTTAAACATCTGCAGTACGCTCATGCACAACGATAATATATTCATGTAATTAATGTTTCTAAGAAATATCACATGGTAAACATTGGTAATTATAAAGTAATAACAAACAAACATGTCAATCTTATTTTATAGCAACTCAGTGTGGGTAGGCTGCAGATAAGACCTTCATTGTGTCTTAACAAAGAACTTTACAAAAGGCAACACAGGTATGTGAATATATTAAATGGAATTGACAACCAACAATGCTTGACTTAAGGAGTAAGATTAATTTTCAAATTATTTCAAAGAATCATAATTGAGTCTTGAATAGCACCGGTATTCACCAACTATTATTTACATTATATGCAACCTCCTCCACTCAGCACCAGAACGAATTTCATTCCAGTCCATTCAATTCTACCAGGTACCCCATGTGGTACAACAAGGAGGCCCAGGACCTCTGCCTAAGGTTTTTTCAGGCCCTGGGGACTCGGTCTGGGCCCCTGGCCTCAGCCACTGAGCTATTACACCACTCGTGGCTCATGAGGCACATGCAGATAAAGAGTGCAATGCTCAAGGACGTAAGCAATATGACCAGCCTTGTGCTCAAACATACGACCTTTCATTTGAAAGTTCAAAGCCTTATTGCTACACCACACGCTTCCACTTTTAGTGATAGAATAATTATTATAATTATTTTCTTGGGTTTTATTTCTTAAATGAGACATGCAAAGCACCTAAAAAGACCTGTGATACAAGATTCTATATGAAAATTTTATTATAAATTTTTATAACAGTTTATTATAAATTATTGTAATTTCAATGAATGTAAAAAATTGTTTTGCATCCAGATTAGAACACATTAAATGTGCACAGAAAAAAAATCATGATCATGTAAGATTATAAAGCACATGGAAAAGGACACATGAGGAAAGACAAGGGAATAATCATCAGAGAATAATGGGGGGAGGGGGAAATGGGCAGGGCACCTATTTGAACTTACCAGTAATATGACCCATGCTTCTATGGAAGTAGGTGCATATGTATTATACCCTTAAGGTTGATCAAACATAAGATCAATGAATTGGAGGTTTCACAATTAACCACTCTTTAAGGAATTCATATTTAAATACCAATCAATTAATCAAAATAATGTACATAACACTAATGCTCAAAGATACTACAAAAATACCAAGATTACTAATCTAAACCATTAAAAATTCATCTTCCTTAATGCTATTTACATTGTTCTCAGTATCAAATTTCCAATATTTATAACCAACGATTAGTCACTTGATGAAACAGATCATCACTTATTGGAAGCATGTTAAAATTCATGGAAATAAATGAATGGTGTTCGATACAAGTATAGCCAGCATAAAAATTATAATATGTCGTTGCAGAGTTCGATTAGGCCTTAAGGACTAATCTCTTTCTTTGAATCGTGAAAATATTATTGTCTCCATCTCAAGTTGAATTTCACATGATTGATGAGAATGATTGATTTAATCTTCATTGAGATCCAACCAAGACGTAATTTTCTATGAAACTACTAATAACAGATTAGTCATAATGGCACAGCAAGAAAGAAAAAAATTACAAATATTAAAATTAAAATTGTAATTTGGCAAATATGGGTATTAGGAATAACTAATAGGTTATAAATTATTATTATTAATTTTTTTTGGTACAATTAAGAATTATTTACAAGTAAAGAAATTTTAAGGTACGGTATTAGGATGAATTTAAAAAAAGCACTTTTTCTGGTAGATTTTACTGAATACTATAGTACAAATTACCAAGTAACAAACAAGGTACTTAACTCCCAATAAATTAGAATCTCTTAGATATATGGAGTACCGTATATATTCTAATAAATGCTCCCCTTAAATAAACGCCCCCTCTCGAGCCTCATTCGGAATAAACGCTCCTTCCAATAAATGCCCTACGTGTTTATTTTTTTCCTTGAATAAATGCCCCCTAAATGAGAGTAAACAAATATAATGGAAGCAACATCATACTCAACTGTACACTTTCTATTAATGCTCTACTCCAGTAGAATTACATATTTTCTAACCTGGTTAGGATCAGTAAGTTTTTATGATCACGCAGTAACACATTTTCACAGTAACTGTGCATTGTAGTTTCACATTTACAATGAAATTAAGGGGTGTATATGCGAGGTCTCACCACAAAATGAGTCGCATCGTTGGTGAAATCATATTCAGATATTCACCAAAACAGGCCAAAGTCAACATTTTTTACAAAATTTTGATTTTAATGTTTTTGAATAACTTGATACTTATATTTTATGATTGTATACTTTGTAAGTGAATTTTCTTGCCAAAACAGTGTTCTCTGCACATTTTCTGTAACTCTAGTCATATTATTTGTACAGGTTAGTTTATCTTTGAGGCTGATTTTCTCAAAACGTGGTTCTCATACACCTAAACTTTAATCTTTGGATTTACTTACAGTAGGGAAGCCATTCAAAGACCAAATGAAAGCTTATAATATGATCTACCCAAATATAATATAAAATCAATTTTTGAATTTCTAACCATGAGTCTCATTTTGTGGTGAGACCTCACATATTAGAGTATTATACGTACCCATTCAAAATAAAAATAAAAAAATAAACGCCTCCATCGAATTAAACACCCCCTCAAAAACACTTCTCAACAATAAACACCTCCGGGGTGTTTATTCAAATAAATACAGTATGTAGACATTATTAGATAATTATAAAATAAAAATACCTACAAAAACTCATATACACTATCACACATACTTATTCACGATATCTATGTGATATTGAAATATAATATAGCACGCAACACTTGTTTTGCACCAGAAAAGATGACATTGACGAGGTTAAAAATCTGTGATAGCTCAAAGCCAGGCTGTGTGGGCGAACAGTTAATTAAACATAAAACTCTCAGAAATTTTGCAACATCTACATTAAACCACCAGTGGTGACATAATCAAATATTTTAATTTCTATTTCCAAGTATTAGCTTTACAGGCACACATGTTCATACATTGCTACATTATAGCCAATCATGCGAATGGTTGGTTCAGGGTGTTTGCAATTTTAAGAGACCACAAAAGCGGACATGTAATCAGTTTACTCTATGCAGAGTGAATAATAATTTCTGTAATTATAAACTACATTTTTGATGTGGGAGCTATCATTACCAATACCAAATATTAAAATCATCATTCTTATTATTCTTATTAATTATTTATTAACCAAGTTAAATATCCAAACAAAATTACACTTACCCTTAATTACCTGACATCCAATCTACATGTTAAATACATAGTAATTCAGCAATTAAATATATTATAAAAGGAATAAGAAATTTAACTTACTTTGACTTTTCATGAGGAGATGATGGTATTTTACCATCAAAACTAAAGAAACGACTATTCCTCCTGTAAAACAAAACGACAATTCATGTAATTTAAATAAACTGTGGAAAAATATGAATAAAATTGCATTAAAAATTTTAATTAAGACATTAATTTAAAGTATTAAATAATTTATCAACTTTCAGCGAGACACAGAACAAAACAATGCAAGATTTCACTTAATTTAACATACACATGTTTTACTTTAAAAATTCCTCAACATTTTTTACAGGCCTACCAATTAGGAACTACGTTAAGAATAAAGGACCTCAGTAATATGTATGCATTTGTTAATTAGCAACAAGAACATTTTCTTGTTTAATTTTCTATCGAAATTAATATGTTACTTTAAAGAACTTACAAAGCAAGAAACATTATTTTATTTCTTAAAATTTTTTTTATTTATTTATTTTTTAATTTTATTTAATTTTTTTAAAAATTTTATTTTATTTTTTATTTTATTTTATTTATTTATTTATTTATTTTTTAACTCAACATAAATATATAACATTATATTATATAGTCATCAACAACAAAAAAATAATTCAGAAACATTAGGACTCTGAAGTTACAATACATATTAAATAAATCTTACACAAATATTTTAATTGAGAAATAATATGTGTATACATCACAAACCTGTGTTTTGGAACTAGCTTTCCAGAGAAATCAACGAGAGGGAAGAAAGCAATACTATAAAAAGGAACAGCTGGACACAACGCCATTTATGGTCAGTGAAAAAAAGGCGGTGATCTCGCACCAAAATTGACAAACACGAAGTAGGCGATTACTACATCTGTCTGTCAGCTCTCATACACAAGAAATTCTCTTTTTAAACGATTTGACTAGCTGTTTCTTGGTAAACTGTTTCGATGCACGAGATGGTTAAGAATTCTAGGAATATCGAGCTTCAGCGACCTTCGTATTACTTTCGATATTGAGGCAAAAAGCTACAGCTACATTTATAACAACATAACTCTTTATGTAGGAGCATGATTATTTTTTTACGGAGAAGGAAGTTAGGAGGATAGCTATAGAAGAGAATCCAATGTAAATGATATTTCTTTAATTATAAAATACAATGTTGGTGTTGTGGCTATCATTACAATTATCATTATTTGCATGAATCTTCTTGAAACATATTAGTTCAAAGAGGCATAGGTCTAGACTAGATTTTTGTCTCTGTATGTATACACACAATATTTTCTGGCTTGGTAGATTTGGTCTGAACCATTCCTACCAATTAATCTAAAAATACCCCACAGAGCTAGGAGGAAGGTTCACGTTGCTCTGGGATGTTTGTGTACCTAGTAGCAATGTAAAAATATCTTCACCATGAGATATGCTCTTAAATACTGGGTGTACTGGGTGTTGGGCTGGGCTACAATTTAGAAAGACAGTAGGTTTTGCGCATAGTTTCCAGCTAGAAACCTTGAAACAGAAGGCTAATTAGTAAATATATTTTATATTGTTATTGCTGCAGTGTTAGTATTAATTTTAGGCCAAATAATATTAATTGTTAGTTTCAAGTCCAGGATTTGAAATTATTTTTTGGTGAGGGTATTTACTATTTGCTTTTTACTATCCTATATACTAGTGGTAAACAGGCTGGTAAATAGTAATTAAAAAAAAAAAATTTTTTTTTATAACAAAAGTAAACTGAATCTTTGTAATGTATTTCTGCAACTTATGTTCCCACCTCCTCGTAGCCTTGACATCATTCTTTCAGACAGTCATTATTTTTATTCAATGGAAAAATGGATGTTTTTATGAAAAATAGCAAATAGTAAATTTTTTCATGAGGCATCAAAATTTGGTGAGAGTGGGGACGTGAAACCAGATATTTTATTTGGCCTTAGTTTGATTGTATTATAGAAAATAACATACAGATCTACACAATATATGGATTATTAACCTATTACATAGTAACAGATTAATGATTATAAAAACTTTAAATACAATTATGAATTAAAAATGGCCAACTTACTGATTTTCAACTTCAGGCCTGTGATTAGATGGTATGTATGCTGGTAATGTTCTACTCTCCGACCGAATAACCTCTGTCGTCGATCCTCCAATTGTTCTTCTAATTACCTTTTTACTTGGTGACCTTTTAGAAAATCAGGAGAAAAAAAAAACCAAGAGGATTATAAAAAAACGTCTTCAACAATAACCAATCAGAAAACCTAAATAATAATGTTACTGGAGTAAAAGTAATTAATATCAAAGATGAAGATTATTTACTGCTGCCAATCTGACCAATTAGGACTAATTAACAATTAAAAAATAACCTCAGAGAACCTGGGAAACACGTTGCTGTGAATTAGAAAATAAAAACCAATTTAGCACTGGTGGTAGATAATTACAATTCTCACACACCTCTTATCTTCAACTCAGCCTCTCCTTATCTTTACCTCATTCATCTGCTCGCTTGACAGTTAACCTATATATAGATATAGCCCACAAACATCCTTTATCATGTACCTCAACTGATACAGAAATTACTGATATCGAAAACCAAAAAACCCAATGTTGGCAAAGTGCCAAAATTGTAAAAGAAATTGCTCTTGTACATATATTTATATTAATTCTTAATTACATTATTGAACATTACCTTATTAATTAAATATTACACAGAATGAAATAGTACATCATTAACCTTTTAGTTACTAAAAATAAAATTGTATTAGATAAATATAAAACAAAAAGCACCATCAATACAAACAACTAATATAAATAGTTAAACAGGAGCCTTTGTACAAACCTTGTTACTTTTACAATGTAAGGATTGTATCTACAATCGTTACTTCTAGATTTTGCCAACTTTTGGAATTTGCTTAACTTTAACTGCGAAATTTCAGCACTTGCTTCACTGAAGTCACTAAAATTCATGCTAAACAAAGCTAACATATTCCCTTGCTTCTTCAACATCAGTTACTAAATGCATCCCATACAGAGGAAACCACAACTTTTTATGAACAGTAACACTGCTTGCAGCCAACAAATTTGATTGGTTGATGATGCAAACCCACAATATATGAATATGAATGAGGTTAATGAGCTTTAAAATAATATCCCATTGTAAACATTAGGAATATGGATTAAATTAATTGATCATATAACATATAGGCAGTTATTTATACAAAAGAAAACACAATACAAAATGTATTTTTTATGTATTACCAAAAACATAAATATTTATGAGTAGTCAGAATCATTGAATATTCTGGGAAAATGAGTCCACTTTCCTTCAAAGAAAACCATATATTTATATTTAATATGATTTTGTCTATTTAAATTTTTCTATTTTAAGAAGTCTATCCAACATGTATGAACATGGTTATCTAATTAACTGCCAGTTGGCTGTAATATAATAATTCTACATCAGGGGAAGATCTAGCGATGTCCAAAAGGGGGAAGGGCCCCCGAAAAAGAGATAACACCACCCTAGGGGGGAGGGGCCGGCCTTAATCCGCCCCTGTACATTCAACATTAACAATTGGTACTCTTGTTGTAAGTTGTTTTTCCTCCCCCCATATTTAACATGTGTGATCCCTCCAACAACATTACTATACAGTAATTATTTGGGGTATGGTGAAATAGGTTGCTTTTTCCTACCATAATAAGTATGATCAATCAAGGAAAGGTAATCATTTGTGACACTCGATGATACAGGTTTTTTTTTTTTTTTTTTTTTTTTTATTGTAAGGAAAATCCTGACTTAATTGAACACATGGCCTCGGGGGGTGGAAGGCAAGTTACTTACCCACCATACCGTTCCTCCACAATAAGCCTTAATAATTATAATGACTATAGTAACTATAAATGAAATATCATTATCAGCAGCAGCAGCAGCAATAATAACTGTAACTAATGTTTACCTGTGAAATTCTCGATCTTTATTTGCTAGCCTCTTCTTAGCATCCTCCATCGTTTGTAGCTCGGTTCTGCCACTAAAAATAAAAGATGAAAATGAAAGAATTATATAAAGATAATCAGACACGGAAATATTATTAGTTTGACAACTATCTTGCATAACTACATCCTGTTACATTCCCTAAACTTATGATAACATCAATGTGCAGTTGATTTAACTCTTTCCTAGTTAGTAAATCTAAAAAATTAAGTCCATTAAAATGAATAAAATAATTAAATGCTATATTGTCATATAATGTTCTAAAAAAAAAAATTTTCATACGATCAACAACAATTAAAATCACAATCGAATTTCAGATGGAATGTGTTCAAATAATGTTAGTTAATCAGATATGTAATATATGAAAACCAAGCATATCAAATACTTTACACCATGCAAGAACATTGCATAAAACTTGCAGTAAAATATTATACAACCTTCAAGCAAGCATGCCTGTACTTAGTACTAATAGTGTTCCCATGCACAAACAGAAAAAGGATTAACATAGTCAATATCCTTGTTTCTGTGTACAGTAATTAAGTAAGAAAATGTATGAAACTCTGAAGTCTAGTACAGACTATCAAATCCTATTTTAAAAAAGCATGTGACATGCCCAAATATGGTCATAATGATATCACACCATGACCATATAGGCATATCATGACCATATATAGGCATATCATGACTATACATGGGCATACAATAGTATCCCTTTGAAAACTAGTTCGAAAAATAAAAATCCCTGGAATAGAATGAACGGGTTACATATTCACACCAACGCAGAACGGCAAAGAGGTATTTTATATAATGATACACTAATATACTCGTCGTTTATACATTGAATCACATAACTACCATGTTCATAGCAAGTTCCTAGAATGATAAATTAAGAAATATGTACATCTCATATAACCAATTTAAAACCTAAGTGCCTTAGCTGATGTGAGGTTGCCAGGTTTTTGATGCACTTGTGCCAAGAATATCTGAGTGTTTCGTTGAAGGATGTCCATGTGGGTTTAAAAATTATTCACTACTGTTTTAGAATTTTTTAAGTATATGAAATCTAGTATTTTGTGATGTTAAGCAGAAATAATTATAAGAATTATAATAATATTTTTTTCATTATCGTATTCTTTATGCTTACTATATTATTTTTATCTTGTTAATCAGGGTAAAAGATACATTGGGAATGTAGTTGTATTTATTAAAAGCAGTATCACTGTATACTTATTAACAGGAAAGATGCTATATGGGAATACGGTTGCAATATAGCACTGGTATCACTGTATTGGTATGTCAGATAATTAGTTCAAAGTAATAACAATCATGAATATTGGTGTAATTATCAGTATACAAGCTAATAGAAAGCATTCCAGTTCTGCTATCTCATAATTCAATTTTGAATTATTTTTAATAAACAAATCTTAGAAAAATAATTCAACGAAATTTACATAAACAATTATAATATTTTCATGTTAATCTTCTTGTCAGGTTAGTTACTATGGCTTGATGGGAATGATGACCTTTAAAAATCTTCACCTGCAACACACGACCTCGGGTTCAGTGTTCTACAGGTCGCTACTTCAGCGATGTATTTTCAAATGCAAGAAATTATAATCCATATATAAGTTATAATAATACAATTCATGAAGATTGGATTTTCTTTATTATATTAAAACAAGTTTATGAAATCAAGTCATTTAAATTATTTTTCTACAGTTTCAACAATAGAGCCAGAAAAGATTTTTAATAAATAGAAGCAAACTCATGCAATAAAACAAAAATACATTAAGTAACATTTTCATAAGTTTGATCTATATACTTATGCACCGAATAAATAAGACAACACATGAATATGCATAATTTATGCAAATCAAATACACATTTAGGCACAAAATGCAAGCATACTACAACCATTCACACAATATAGAACCATATAACGGTATATAATCAAATAAGGTTAGATTATTTGATTATATAACGTTATATGGTTCTATATAACGGTATATAATCAAATAATGTTATAAACAGTGCTCGAATAAAGGTTGTTTGAAAAAGTGCCCTGGTGGCAATTGAACTTGCGACCTCTCGATTTAAATGTGAGTATCATACCACTTGACCACAGAGGCCGCTGGTGTATATCAGATACAACTCAACAAGGACACTTCTTCAACCAATTGATATACGCCCACACAAAGTATAGAAATCGGAGCTGTATTAACAACAGCATTAACAA